GGAGGCCTAGCGGCCCGTCTCATGTTAGTATTCGGAATCAGCACACTCGATTACCTATTGTTCGCTAAGTTTTAAGCTAGAAGCGATTTATCACTTGGTGTCCTTTCCTCGTTAGAGCGTCATTTCGTCACTTACAGTGACACTTAGCTATTTTTAAGTGTCGGTTTATTTCCTTGGTTTTTGAAGTTATCTGGAGTCAAATAGCTATTGTTGGATAGAATACGACATTTGCTCCAATGTGATTTGTATATCGTAAAAAATAAACTACCAAGAATACGTATTGATTTTTAAAATTTTTCTAGGGGTTACTGAAAAGGATTTTTGAGGTCTAAAAATATGTTAGGCTTAATCACGGACAAAAATGACATCAATATGTAAAAAGCTTTTAACTTGTTTCGCCACCGCTTACATGCTGTTGTTAGCCGCAAAGAAAAATTTCTTCTGAGAGTTTTGCCATTCAACTTTAGCTTTTCACAAGAATAAAGCCGAACAGAGAAAAATGTATATTTTTGTGAAATAAACATTAGATGTGGGGTACTTAGAGGGATAAAAGAAAAAAAATACATTTTTTCAAAATACTGACTTTAATCAAAGAAAAGCAAAAAGCAGTGACGCTCCACCTACTGTTGAAGTAATGTAGATTGTATTACGTTTTAATACTACCATGCCGAGTTATTTGGAATATGCAGGTATGCAAGCTGGGCTTTACGTTGGATCAGTTGTATTCATACTGATTATTGTACTTATTTTAATGAAATGTAATGATCATTTTTCGCATTTTATTATTGAAGTAGCTTCCGGTATTAAATTTATTGACGCACAAAATCGCATACCTGAACAACTTGATGTGTATGATAAACATATAGAACTGATCAATGGTCGTAAAAGAATTTACCTGTTTGTCGTATCGATATTAACAACATCGTCACTTTCAGCTGTATCAATTATTTTCATTCAAGGATGCATATTTGCTGGTGAAAGGGTGTATCCCAGCGGTGCTTGTCCAACATCTGGTGTATTAGATTGTTTTAATGACGTGATTAATGTGAGATTTCAATGTGTACCAAATAGTATAGTCGATTTCAATATCTCACAAGGTCAGTTTGCCTGGTGTTATGGATGGATTGCTTTGAATCAAACAACAGATAGCGTGCTTAATCAATTAGGAATATGCGGCGGGTTACTAGGGGTGATTAGTGTATGTCTGCGCATCTTTTTCAGTTTACTAAAACTAGTTTATAAGGAAAGTAAAAGCAGAAACATAGCGGCCGGGTTGACATCAAGTGTGGTGACAGGACTGGTACCGTCTGGAGGAGATCTTGTCTCAGAAAATAACACCACGTGTTCTCTACAAGTGTTAGTACCTTGTTTTTGGGGCTAAAAGGGTTTAAACGTCCTTGGTTGATCCGTTTATTTGTGTTATTCTATTCGTTGACCTGGGTAGGCATATGGTTAGCTGCAATTATACCTGGAAAAAATAATCTAAGTGTTTTGACATGGGTGATACTAGCTGCACTGTTTGTGGCTTCGTATTTTGTAGTTTTATTGGCGCAAGCTAAGGAAGCCGATCAGCCCCTTTTGAAGAGAGAGGATTCTAGCAGCCGTCAAGCATGCGTATCGCTAATTTCAGAAACAAAACCAAGGGCACGTGAAACAAAGGCATCAGAAAAGTCGAAAATCACAGCTACTATTGATAACACTACATTTTAAAATATTGTGCTTAATTGCGTGGTTCATTTTGAATCTAATGTACACTTAGCTGTAAGCCTTTTACTATTTATGTTTCGCCCTTCAGGGATATAAATAAAAAAAATGTTAGCTGACTCACTGGATGTCGAGAGTGATAATTAGCATCCCATTTGTCTTAGGTTCGATCCCTGAATGGATCGGTGGAGTTTTTTCAGTTGTTTTTTGTAGAACTTAGATGCGCTGCTGACGCTGATTAACTTAATGAGCAGTTGGCAGTTCGCAAACAAACTTTTCACAACAAGAAGTTCATAAGACTTCTTAACACTTTCTTATGAAATTCTTAAGACTTTCTTATCAGATTCTAAAAAGATTCTTTAGGATTCTTACTTGAATTGAGCGTGAGTCAATTTTAGAGGGAACGTAGTATTAGTTTATATTTTGTGAATAAAACTAGACGTCGCCGAACCCTTCACGAAGAAAACTATTTAAATTAATATAATTACTAGTCTTTTCAAAATCGATAAAACTTATTGTGTCTTTTCTTTTGTATATCTTATAAGATCATAGGTCTTTTGTAAGTCTGGTGTCACATCAGAAGATTTTTTAAGGTATTCATATGTCGATTTTGGTCTAAGTATATCAAACTTTTGTTAGTCTACTGCTTTGATGATCAACCGAAGACTTACTCCAGTGTACTTAGCATTATTACTTCTCAGAGGACATTCGTTTCTAAATTGATTGAAATAATGTTGAGTTACGAAGAATACATGTAATTTTTAAACGATATTTATAGTCGTACGTATGAAAAATAACTTAACATATATATATAGAAAGCTTTTTAGATTCTATTGTAAGAAAGAATTATTTACGCACAGGTTATTATTGATGAAAAAGAAAAATAATTTGCTATAAAGCGACAGCAATTTATATGCTGAATCAATAATAGGTGTTGTTGACATTATGTTTTATAAAAGAAAGAATGAGAAGAAGCTTATATACCAAAAAAGCTAGTAATTATTAAAATCGCTAAATGTCTCACAATTTCGAACAAATTGTCTCAGAAATTTTGTCAAATATTCTCATGAGTGTAGAAATTATAAAGTTTATCCATCTGCTATGAACGATTATTTAGTGAACCAAATTTATTGTCAATTTCGTAACATAATCAGGCATATGTTCAGCTATTTAAGAGAGAGTCCGTGAGAAAATCGATCACATCAGCCGGAGCTAAAATTTTCTTTTTATTCTTAGTATTCTAGTTCGAAAGAGCTCATCGAAAAACTAAGAAATCGAAGATATCTCGCCTTTGTATACAAAGGCGAGATATCTTCGATTTCTTAGTTTTTCGATGAGCTCTTTCGAACTAGAATACTAAGATTAACTTAATTATCAAATTCGTAAACAATTGTAGCATTAATTTAAGAATACTAAGAATAAAAAGAAAATTTTAGTTCCGGCTGATGTGGTCGGTTTTCTCACGGACCCTCTCTTAATGGTTGAAGGTCATATCATCATCACATGTAATTTATTCTTTGTTGTATATAGTGTGAATCCTATTCTTTTCTGTTTGTAATTGCATCACGTTTCATTGTATATCTTGTAAGTTTTCGACTCGGTCGCTTGGTTGAAAAACAAATACTTATAGACGTTTGCATCGTATTCTTGGTAGTTTATTTTTTACGATATACAAATCACATTGGAGCAAATGTCGTATTCTATCCAACAACAGCTATTTGACTCCAGATAACTTCAAAAACCAATGAAATAAACCGACACTTAAAAATAGCTAAGTGTCACTGTAAGTGACGAAATGACACTCCAAGTGACGAAGTATTACTTCCGGTGAAGAAGTATTGTCACTCAAAGTGAGAGACACTTTAAAGTGTGCAGCAAAACTAGAGGTTATTTCCCCTTTGGTTATTGCTCACACTTGGTTATTGTCAAAAAATTTGCTTACTCCATACGGAGCAGCATGATGCAAGGACGATCGTTTATGATAATTTTCTTTCAAAATCATTTTACTTACAAGACGACTTCTTTTATAATCACTAAAGAAAATCTTAGCACGAGTCGTTAACACAAATTCCTTAGTTCCTAGAGAGCTCCAACAGAGTCCTTTGGAAAACAATGATATTTTATCCAATACTTAAATTTTATGTTGAGTCTTACTTGCACATCTACTCCGACAGCATTCTAAAAGAAACAAAGCAAATAAAATAGTCCATATTAATCGTCTAATTGTGTCTAGGAAGTCAGCGCGGATTGCTGCAAATTTCGATAATTCCCCGCAGATTGCAAAGTTTCCAATTCTAGCTGACATATCGAATGGTGTTTCTCCTGTCTTTGAGTACTGATCATTTATTCCACCGTGAATTATCTTGACCAGTTGCTCTTTTTTGATTACTCTTTTCAACTTCATCCAGTAATGCTTTTGAAAATGAACAAGATTTAATCTTATTCGTTCTCAATACGCTTCGTTTTCAAAAAGCGGACTGCATCAGTACTTAAATGTTCTTATATATATTTACTTTGTGGAATATGGAATTGAAACACTTCTTTCGAAGCTGATACGTTTGTCTCTCACAAGTAAATGTGAAACATACATGTCGCAGATAACCACAAACAAACGATATACAGCTAAGTACTGCACGAATTTAGAAATAGATACAGAATAATGATTCATAGTGAATTCATGAAAGGTGCTCGCCTGAAAGTTGTCAGTCCGACACATACTCGCATGCGAAAGTTGCCCAGGTTTCAGAATTACCTACCGGCGCTGGTGGTAACTGAAGAAACGGAATGGAGCCGTAGTTCAGATTAACCGCATGAGAAGAAAAGAAATAAAAGATGATAAAGAGTAAAGTTAGACAAATTCATGTGTATTAACGTCTGATGGTCAGATGCTCGACTGATAGACTAAACGGATTATTGTTGGAAATGCGTCACTTTTAGTTTTATCAGTTTCCATGCTGCAAGTTTCACATACGGGAAACTGTAGGGCGGAGAACTTTCGCATGCGGACAAATTGCCTAACGGGCAACTTTCGCATCCGGGCACGTTTCCGACGGGCACTTTTCTGACGAGCAAATTGCGCTTTACCGATAAAATCTGACTGTAACAAAGTCGTTCGTCTGCATTTGCATGCATTTGTGGAGAAACAGAAAGCAGTTGAAATAATCTCCATATGGTAAGACCAGTTTCATTGGAAGAAGTGCAAACGAAAGACGAATAGAGAAAATTAGTGTTATTTTGAGAAGCTCTTTTCTTACATTTGTGCAAAACTTTTATTTTTGACTCTTAACCAATTTACATTCAGATGCAGGGGTAGTTAGTTATTGAAGTATCACTGAACTCCACACGAGCATAATCGATCTCAATCCTTTTTGTTTCACAAGAATCTAAGGTAGAAGCAGGATTAAGTCACTTTAATAAATTCAGTTTCAAACACCGTCTAGGCACTGGTTTGTGTTTTAAGATAGTTTTAATCAGACGACAAACATGAAAACTGTCTTGAAAAGGCTCAACTCTCCGGAAGTCTTCTTAAATGAATTAATCAGGAGTATGACAGAAAATTGGATGATGAATGCAGCGTTTCCAATTGACAACATATTTATCATAAATATTTTTTACGAATTTTCGACCCTAACTGTCATTTTCAAGTAAAAAAGATTTTATCGCAAACAGAATACAAACTAGTGAATCCCAACACAAAGAGAGAAAATTAATAAAAAAAATAGCAGTTTTAATACTACTGTACATCGGAATCCAACATTTACCGGATTACTTACTGAATGAAATTCTATGTATTTGTACATAGTTCGACTACAAAGCAGAGCACATACAAGACTAGAATCACCATGTTATTAACCGGTGAAGTTCTTTTCAGCTGTCCTTCGCCAGTGAGCAAAATCAAAGGCGAATTGTAGTACACAACTGTTCGTAGAAACATGTGTATAACGTAAACGTCCCTTGTTTAGTTTTATACTTGTTATCCGATTATATGAGCTTGGGGGCCCCCCCCCCCCCCCCGAGAGAAGCAAAGCGGGGGGGGGGGGGGGGGGGG